GATAGGTATTAAATCTTAGACTGTTTGGTGGAATTCACCAGTGAAGCCATCTGGTCTTGGACTTTTGTTTTCTGGGGCAGTTTTTTTATGATAGTTTCAATTTCCTTACTAGTGATCAAGCTATAGGTTTTCTAATTTTTCATGTCTCAGTCTTAGGAAGGTTATATATTTCTAAAACTTTGCCCTGGCCAGTTTGGCTCAGCAGTTAGAGCATCAGCCTATGGACCAGAGAGACCCAGGTTCAGTTCCTGCTAAGGACACATACCTCGGTTTCAGTTTGTCCCCGGCCCCAATACCCAGTCGATGTGTCTTTCTCACATCGATGTTTCTCTCTCTCCCTCCCCCTCTCCCTCCCCGCTCTATCTGAAGATGAATGCAAAAATGTCCTCAGGTGAGGAAAAGTAAGTAAATAAATAAATAAAATTTCTTTCTTCTAGGTTATTGAATTTGGTGCTGTATAGCCTTTCATAGTATTCTTGTATGATCCTTCGTATTTCTTTGGTGTCCATTTAATTCTCTTTCAGTTTTTATTTTATTTACTTGAGTCTTTTTTTTTTCCTTAGCAAGTCTAGCCAGAGATTTATCAATTTTACTTCTTTTCTAAGAACCAGCTCTTTGCTTCATTATTTTTTTCTATTATCTTTTTGTTTTCTATTTTATTTTTTTCTACTCTAATTTTTTATTACTTTCTTCTACTAACTTTGAGCTTCCTTTGTTTTTTTAGTTCTTTAAAGTTTAATGTTAGATGGTTTGAGATTTTTCTTGTTTCTTGAGATAGCCCTGTAATGCTGTAAACTTCCCTCTTAGTACTGCTTTTGCTGCATCCCCAAAATTTTGGTATGTCATATTTTTATTTTTGTCTCTATGTATCTTTTGATTTCTTCTTTTATCTATTCTTTGACCCAATAGTTATTCAGCAACATGTTTTATCTTCATATATTCATATATTTACCAGCTTTCTTCTTGTAGTTATTTTCCAGGTTCATACCACTGTGATCAGATAATATGCTTTGGTATGATTTCTATCTTCTTAAATTTATTGAGACTAGGTTTGTGCTACAACATGGTCTGTCCTTCAGAATGTTTCATGTACTCTTGAAAAGAATGTATATTCTGTCATTTTGGGATGGAAAGTTCTATAAATATCAAATATGTTCTTTGCTCTAATGCAGTGGTTCTCGACCTTCCTAATGCCATGACCCTTTAATACAGTTCTTCATGTTGTGGAGACCCCCAACCATAAAATTATTTTTGTTGCTACTTCATAACTAATTTTGCTACTGTTATGCATCACCATTGGAAATACGTGTTTTCCGATGGTCTTAGACGACCCTCGTGAAAGGGTCGTTCGACCCCCAAAGGGGTCGCGAACCACAGGTTGAGAACCGCTGATCTAATGTGTCATTTAGGTTTATATTCCTTGTTTACTTTCTATTTGGTGATCTACCCATTGCTGTCAAAGGGGTATTCAGGTCTCCTACTATAATTGTTTTTTGTCAGTTTCTCCCTTTAGGTCTGTTAATAACTTGTTATATATTTTGGTGCTCCCAGATTGGGTGCATATATATTAGAGTGTTATGTCTTGATCATGGTCCTCCTTATTTTTATGAAATGTCCATCTTTGTCTCTTGTTACTGTTTTTATCTTGAAATCTATTTTGTCTGATATAACTATGGCTACACCCGCTTTTCTCTGGATTGCATTTTCCTCCACCCCTTCACTTTGAACCTATGTTTGTCTTTGTAGCTGAGATGGGTCTCCTGAGGAAACATATAGTTGGGTCTTGTTTTTAATCCATTTCCACTGCTCTGCCTTTTGGTTGGTAAGTTTCATCTATTTACATTTGGGGTGATTATTGATATATGAGGACTTACTACAGCCCTTTTATCTTTTGTTTCCTGGTTGCTCTGTTTCTCCTTTGTTTCTTTTTCCTTGTGTTTCTATCTGCTGTTTTGGTTTGATAGTTTTCTATGATTTTTTCACCTGTTTCCTTCTTTTTTAATGTTACAAGTCTCAGTTCTAGAGTTTTCTTTTTGTATGTATGGTTACCACTAGGTTTATGTAAAAAAAAAAAAGTATCATACACAATACTTCTTTTTCTTCTGATTGTGTCTTATCTCTGTTCACCTGTACAAGTTCAGTTCTTTTTGTTTGTTTGTTTCTTTTTTATCCTCACCCAAAGATATGTTTACTGGTTTAGACAGAGAGGAAAGAAGAGAAAGAGAAATATCGATGTGAGAGAGAAACATCAATCAGTTGCCTCCTGTATGCACCCCAACTGGGGATCAAATCTACAACCTAGGTATATGCCCTGACCAAGAGTTGAAGCCACAACCTTTTGATGTTTGGGATGACACTCCAACCAACTGAGCCACCGGCCAGAGCCAAGTTCAGTTCTTTTCCTTCTCCCCTTTTTGTTTTTGTTATCACAAATTATTCCTAAGTGTTTTTTTCCTTCTTTACCCTTTATGCTATAATTAAGCGTTTAATACTGAATTCTGAAATAGAGTTGCAATTTCCTGTTTCTGTCTGTTATCTTACTCAGCATTTTATATTCTCTTTGTCTTTTTGTTTCAGATAGAAGAGTTCCTTAAAACATTTCTTGTAATGCAGGTTTTGTGGTAATTCCCTCCGTTTTTGTTTGTCTTGGAAAGCCTATATTTCTCCATATCTAAAGGGTAGCTTTGCTGGATATTTTATTCTTGGCTGGTGGTTTCTCTCTTTCAATATTTTGAATATTACATTTCACTCTTCGGGCTTGTAGGGTTTCTGCTGAAATATCTGATGATAATCTACTGGGGTTTCCTTTGTAGGTTACAGTCTTTTCTCCTGGCTACCTTACAAATTCTTCCTTTGTCATTAACTCTTGACAAGTTTAATATAATGTGTCTCTGAGATCTTTTTGCATTGAGATAATTAGGTGTTCTGTTAACTTCTTGAATTCAAAGGTCCAACTCTTCCCACAGGTTTGGGAAGTTCTCATTGATTATTTGTTTGAATAGGCTCTCTGTTCTCTTCTTCCTCTCTTCTCCTACTGATATACCTATTATCTTTATGTTGTTCTTTCTAATGGAGTCAGATCATTCTTGTTGATTTCTTTCTTTTTTTTTTTTCTTAGTTCTCTCTTCTTTCTTCTGGGTCATTTCTAGGTTTCTGTCTTTGACCTTACTAATTAATTCTCTCTTCCATGTGGTTTGCTCTGTTTCTAATGCTCTCTAATGCATTCCTCATGTCATTTTTTGAGTTCTTCAGCTCCAGAATTTTGTTTGGTCCTTTTTTATAGTTCCAGTCTCTTTGACAAAGTATTCTTTTTGTTCATTAATTTTCTACCTGAGCTCATTGACCTGCCTTTCTGAGTTCTCTTATTACCTCATTGAGCTTCTTCATAAATGCAATCTTAAATTATCTGTCATTTAAGTCATAGTCTTCCATTACTTTGAGTGTGGTTTCTGGAAGACTTCCTTTTCTTTCTGTGCTCCCATGTTACTTTGATTGTTCATGATATTTGATGGATTGTTTCTCTGAGGTAGTGAGCTCTTTTCTTGTTTAGATACTGTTTTGCTCTCAACAATTCAGCGATTGATAGGTAGGGTACTTGTTTTTGTTTTCTCTTACGTGCACTATTTGTGCCTCTGGGATCATGGTGAAGCAGTATCTCTTCGATTAAGGAGAATGCCGTGTACCCACTGGAATGGTGAGTGGTGTCCCCTCTGTGACCAGTTTGCCTTGGGTACAGGGCACTATCCATGGGGTGAGGTATTTGGCGGGTGGTAGGAAACTGGTTTTGTGAGCTCCCAGAGCTACCTCCTTTTTTTTTTTAATCCTCACCCAAGGATATGTTTATTGATTTTCAGAGAGAGAGAGAAACATCAATGTGAGAAACATCAATTGGCTGCCTGCCTCCCATACGCACCCCACTGGGGATCAAACCCACAACCTTTTGTTGCACAGGACAACACTCCAACCAACTGAACTACCTGACCAGAACCAGAGCTACCTCCTTTTTACTAGTGGTCACTGGCTCAACTATATTGATTTTTGTTTTTAAATATTTTTTCTTTATTGATATTTTAGAAAGAGGAAAGAAGAGGGAGAGAGAGAGATAGAAACATCGATGAGAAAGAACATCGATTGGCTACTTCCTGCATGCCCCCTCCCCCACTGGGAATTGGGCCTACACCTGGGCATGTGCCCTGACCGGGACTCAAACCAGTACATGAGCAAAACTACTGAGCCACACCAGCTAGGCCCCACTGTGTTTTTGGAGGTATCTCCAACTGCCTCTACCAGGGTGTCGGGGGAGTGGGCACGTTCATGATTTTGCAGTCCACCATATTGTTTAAGATGTCTCAGTTTTCGCTACCTGGCTCTGTCAGATTGAGTAGGGTAAGGGAGATAAGTTCATGATCTTATAGCTCCACCCAACTGCCAACAATGACTGTGGGCACCTCTGCATTGCCCTGGTCTTTTCAGCCTCTTTTGTAGGGCTCTTCATATGTTCTGATGTGTTGATCTTTTAGGCATATTTCTTTGTTTTGTTTCGTTTTTAGTTTTGTTTTATTTTTCCTTTATTGATGTTAGAGAGAGAGAGAGGAAGGGAGAGGGAGAGAGAGATAGAAACATCAATGAGAAAGAACATTGATTGGACACCTCCTGCATGCCCCCCACTGGGGATCAGGCCCACAACCTGGGCATGTGCCCTTGATTGGGAATCAAACTGGCGACCTCTTGGTGCATGAGTCAGTGCTCAACCATTGAGCCACACTGGCTGGACTAGTCATGTTTGTGTGTTAAGCAGGGGATCCTTTGTTGAGTTGCAGTTGTCCGACTTGTAAATTTAAGGGGACAAACAAAGGAGTCTTCTCGTTCCATCATGATGCTGTGGTCACTCTCTAGCATATTTAAAATCTCAAGATGCGTCTGGTTTACCCAAGGGTCAAGTCAGCTATTCAGATTACTTGTGAGCAAAAGGCTTAACTATTCCCTGTTCTGGCCCACAGGAGGCCCTGGAGGCGTGCCAGACCCGTATCTCCAAGATGGAGCTGCAGCAGCAGCAGCAGCAGGTGGTACAACTGGAAGGACTGGAGAATGCCACTGCCCGGAACCTTCTGGGCAAACTCATCAACATTCTTCTGGCTGTCATGGCAGTTCTTTTGGTCTTTGTCTCCACAGTAGCCAATTGCGTGGTTCCTCTTATGAAGACTCGCAATAGGACGTTCAGCACTTTATTCCTTGTGGTTTTCATTGCCTTTCTCTGGAAGCACTGGGATGCCCTCTTCAGCTATGTGGAACGGTTCTTTTCATCCCCCAGATGATGCTGGCAAAAGAAGGCAGTGCTCCCCTACCCAATGGCGAGTGCATGCAGCAAAGAATTAGACAGCAACTTACCTTCTCTGAAGTTTTCTACAACAACAAAAGAGTTGAGTGAATCTGTTTACATTTAGAATAATGTTTTTTTCTTCAAGAGACGCAATTGCAATAGTATTTTTTAGACTTTATCCAAGAAGTTTTTTGGGCAAAAATCTTGGATCATTTTTATGTAGCATGATTTTCCTTGGGATGCAGATCTTAAACAGTTATTTAACATGAACCAACAACCTGGAGCACACTGAAGGGCATCTAAATTGTGGCTTGAAGGACTGCACTAAAACCCACTAAAAATGCGAAAACCTGATTAGGGAAACCAGTTAAACCTAACACACCCTGCCTTGTCTGGGCTCACCACCTCTCTTCCTCCCAGACTAACTTTACTGTGAAATCCTACCACATTCCATGTCTGAATTTTTGGATTCAGGGTGGATTTTCCTTGTCTGTGGAAGAACACATGGATCTCCCTGGCTTTCTCACCCAAGTTGGCCACTCATGCTAATGCTGGAAGTACGGTAATTTTTTAACCTGGTCCCTTAACCTTTGCTAGGATACAGATGTGAGAGCATCATGCCCCACAGGATCACTGCACAGTCCTACTACCGTATTTTGAAATAGCCCTCCAAATACTTAATTTTAAGCAAAATCCCATGGCCGCACTTTTAAGGTGGTTTTTTTTTTTTAATATGTGTATAGTCACCAATTAAAAAATACACACAAAAATCTGAACAGCATACTTGAAGAATGTAATACTGAAACACTCAGTGCTTCCTTATGGTTTCTAATAGGATTTTTTATTATTGTTGTTATTATTACTGGGTTTTTTTGTTTGTTTTTTTTTTGAAAGGGTTGGGAGGATCTTTTATTTTTCCTTTGAAATAAAGAAGTGCTGTTTTTAAATGAAGAAATGTGTGAATATTTAAGTGTGCTGCTCCCTCTTTTCCTGAAGCAGTTTGAGTAAATGAAGACTTGCTATAAATGCTGCCCTTGACGCCCTTGTTTTGTGATGCAGCTTAAACTCCCTCGTCTGGCTGCTGCTATTGCTTTTTGGTGTTTGCTACCCCACCACCACCATCACCACCACTTCATGGGCCTGGCTTGGTTGGAGAGGAAAGGGGTGTGCCGGGAGAAGCTGTTTCCACAAACGAGCATGATAGGATAGAGATTTTTTTGCCCCATTAAAATGTTTACTCAGTGACTTTGGGCTGAGGTTGTCTTCAGAAAAAAATGCGACAATATTATGAAAGTCATAAATAATTCCTTGTGTTTCCTTAATTTATTTTTTAAAACCCCCTAATTACTGAAACCAAAGTGATTTTGAATCTTCTGTCTGCATTTTGGCCCCTGCATCCTTCATTTCAAAGCTTTATTTTGTCTGCCTGAGAGAATTGACTGAAGGTGATTCTCCCTAAAGAGCAGAGGAGATATCAGGTCAGAAGGACCCAAGTTTGGGGTGTAAAATGTTGTCAACTTCCTATTCATATAGCCTGACTTATTAACATAACTATGCTCAGTGGACTTTTATAGAGAGTTTAGAAAAATGAAGTGAGACTTTTTCTCCATCCTATATCCAGTTCCATCATCCTGGTAGAACTTGGGCTTTTAGAGCTTATCTAGAAAGCTTGGCTAATCTTTTCATATTTGTAATATTGAATCACAAAATGTTGTTCCCTCTTAGTCTCAGCTATGTGCAACCAACTGATGAGCAAGGGGCACCTGATGTGCCCCAAAAAGAGTAGCAGAACATTCTTTGCCTATTTCCCCCATCCCAGGAAATTCCTTTGAAACTAGATTAACATTGCCTTGTCTGTCTGAGAGCATGGTTTACATGACAGCTCCAGCTTCTGGTGGCTTTGGCAGGCCGGCCTTCTCAGAGTCAGCATGTTACCATAATCGTTTTGATATTTTAACTCAGGTACCCCAGTCTTCATTCTATCCTCAGATGATTGTAGCACATCTGTTAGCTCTGTTGACTTCTCAAAATTAGTGCCCAGAGCAGGGACCAGGGTTGTTTTTTGTTTTTGTTTTTTACTCACGGGGGTGATTTTTCTTTTAAAAAAATAATTGGAACCATTTCATGTTCAGGCCAAAAACAAATTATTCCTACGCCTATGTATTTAAAATGTTAACTTTGTCTAAAAATATTGCAGTGATTTTAGACAGGAGTGCCAAAGGACACCATGACCTTGTCAAACTAGCATAGTTTGTCCTTTTTGCTTTAGTTTAAGGCTCAGAGTAGAGAGCCCCACAAAGTTATTGAAAAGATGCTCTAGCCACAGTTTTCCAGTTTTTCTAAGATGGAACCTTTGAGTCCCCTAAACTGTGTAGAGGCTACCAGGTTTTGTGGGCACTGGAAGTCACTGTGATAGATGAATTTAAATTGTTCCTTATGCCTTGGAATGGTTTCTATCAAAGGAAGGTTTTCACCTTTGGAAAGCCCCCTAAGCTCCCAGCCAAACATACCTGTGCTAACTTTGCATCCTCTTCTCTCAAACTGTCCTAGGAAGGAGCTTCAGCTGGGTCAGGCACAGTAATGGCCTTCTTGCTCTCTTGTCTCTTGATTGTTTGCCAGGCCCAACAGTTGTCTGCATTTGATACTATTTGTAACCATTAATCTGTTTTGATGCCTTTCCCCATTTTCTGCTGCCGGTACATTACCTTTGAGTTTCTTTGCATTGTGACTGTTCTTGGATTCTCTTGTCTGTTCAAAGCTCTTCTATAACCTCGCTGTAATGGTTTAACAGTTGTTCTGTGGGTGAAAAATTCCCATAATTTTTAATGCTTCTTCTGTTTTAAAGACTCCATGCATTCCCTTTGAAATGAAGCATTCCTGGATTATTTGTTAGTGGTGGTGCCTGAGGCTGGCTGTGGTAGCCTGGTGACTGTTCGGGTTATAGAATGACTAATATTTTACCTTTTTTAATGATAATTGAAGGACATGTCTGTCTGCTCCAATTTCAGTTCCTTGTTATATACTCAATGCATCCTAGCAAGGAAGGCTTTCTATCCGCTGGCTCCTTAAGAAAAAGTAGGTTAAATTTTACACTTCACTGACTGGGGCCCTTTCTCTCTCCCCTGAACCCACTTCACCCAATTGAGGTAAAAATCTGGTACTGAGAAAAATACTGGGATTAAGCCTTCCTTCGCTAGCCATGTCCTAAGAGTGAGCATATATTCATGTGGTTTTCACTGCATTTGATTTTGTTTTAATTTCATATTCCTTTGAGGTACAATAAGATGAAATGCTGACTTCCAAGTGAGTTCCAGTACAGAGCTGCCTTTCAGCTTTGGAAAATATGCATCCAAAACAAAACCAAATATTATAATCAACAAATTTACAAAGGCAAAATTACAATTCCCGCCCCCAAATGAGACTGGGGATTTTGAATGTGGCTCTGAGAGTTAACATATCTGTTTGTGTGTTATGTATGCTAGGTGATACTCCCAGTAGGAATGATTACTAGACTGTGTGTTTTATCAAAGTGTGTAAGAATAAAAACTCACTTGCACGAATTGAAAAGTACAGAAATGACACTTGTGAACGTGTGAACGTTAACACTGTAGTTGATAGATCTTAAGCTGCTAATTGTTGAGAGAGAATTACATTTATGTTTTGTCTGGTTTGCTGCAGATTCTCAGCAGCACTTTTACTGTACATATAAATTGAAATAAAGACCTCAGCTATTAACGAGGTGTTTGGACTCGGGTTTGTTTTGCTCTTTATTTTTGCATATTTAGTTTCCATTGACAACTTTGTCAGTCTGAAAACTTTGCACTAGTTTGTGCATTAGAAACTGCATATGTGTGTATTTTGCTTGTGTGAGTGCGTGTATGTGTGTGTGTATGTTTAGCAAGTATCTTGAAACTGTAACTGATAGCTGGGTGGCTATCACTGTGTCCCTGGACTTTATACACATCATTTCAAATATGGCACTTTGCCACAGTCTCTTTAGACTGGTAAGTAAGACAGCCTTATAGTCTTTTGGAGGGAGTTTTTTAAAGGCACTGCCCCAAAATTCAGCATCTGAAGACCCCACAATGGGTATAATAGCCCCTGTCCATTCTTCCAAGGCTTTGTTGTTAATAAACAAATGTTATGATGGGTGTATAAACATACTTTGTAAAACATTTAACATTTAAACTTCTGTATACCTGTAAGGGGTATACAGAATTAGGCTAATAGGTTATAGCCTAATTCTATCTGTGATTTTGTTGTAGAGGCAGTAACTATTATTACAGATTTTCCTTTTTCATTTCTGGGAGGCCTCTGGAAATCCAGAAGCTTAATCTTGCTTTGACAGGGTAGCAAGCAGGGACCTGATGTCTTAGTCCTTCACAGCCCAATCTGCATTTCAAGATATTTGGGGCCACAATGTTGGCTTATTAGCTCTGTGCCTCCTACCACTTCTATAGACTAGAACTATCACACCCATCTTGATCCTACCTAGTAGATGTTGTGAAAATAGAGTCCTCTTGTGAAAGCTTTTAAAATTGCTGTGAGAATGCCCATGAGCTTTTTGAAACAGCTGTGCAGGTTGTACATTGCCCAATCCCAAGGGGCTTGGTAAGTAGGCCACACTGAAGGATAGATTCATCCTAGTGTTGTACATAGTGCATAATGGGCACACACAGCAGCCCTGATCATAGGTGACACATCATTTCAAAGCCTACTTTATTTTCATTCATTAAAAACTTTGGAGAGTGGAAGACTGATAACAAATCTGAGAAGCTGTAGTGTAGAAAAGAGATTGAAGAAGTAGAGGAGGGTATGGCCAACTAGAAAATGTATACCTCACCTAAAAGATTCAAATGTGTTACTTTTAAACTCTGTGAACTAAACTAAACACCTCAACAACTTGTGACCTCAAGACTAGGTAAAGAAGAGTAGTAACATCTGTTGCATACTTACTGAGTGATAGGCATAATGCTTGGTACTTGACATGCAGTTCTCAGTTCCCCCACACTGTCTCCCACAGGCAGTGTCTTCCTCATTGTGAAGGTCAGGATACTGAAGCTTGAGTTAAATGGCTTGCTCAAAGTTACGTGGGTAGGAAATGGTAAATGAATGTGATAAAAAAAAAATAGGTCTGTGCAGGATACATAACAAAAGATGGGTGTCCAGATGTGTCAATATAACAGTTAATACAAACCAAGAAGAAAAGTCAACTCAGTATAAAATAGACAAGGATTATGAAGAAATAGTTCACAGAAAAAGAAATGAATTACCAGTAAGCATTCAAAAGAAAATGTTCAGCCTTATGTATAAACCAGAACATTAAATGGAGGGGAATGCCAGTTGTGGAATTGTCTCCTTTTTATGTTTAAAATATTTTTGTGTAAATAAATATATATGTAAGAGTATAGAAACAAAACTGCATGGTAAACTGTCCCCAGTAGTTCCTTCTGGGAAACGGAGTGAGAGTAATGGTGGTGAAACAACTGTCATGCTTGACTCCTGTAAAATAGTAATATCTCATATGAATGTATCTGTGTTTTTTGTTTGTTTTTTTGGTACGTGCCCTTAGCAGGAACCGAACCCAGGACTCTCTGGTTCGCAGGCTGACGCTCCAACCGCTGAGCCAAACCGGCCAGGGCTGTATTTGTGTATTTTTTAAATTAAAAATATAAAAACTTCTTTAAAGAAAAGTAGTAAGTCCATTGAGGAGAGTTAAAAAAAAAAAGCAGGGGTGTTGGTGGTGGTGTTGATAGTATTCCTAAAGCTATCATAGACCATCTTTTTCGCTTTAAGATTGTTTTAGAAGACACTCTGGGCCAAGTTTGGACCACCCATAGGGCTTTCTTTCAGCCCTTGATTTCTGGGCTTGGTGGTCAAATGGATGCCGTGCTGCCAGAGGGCACAAGTAAAAGTGGTATGCTTGAAGCAGCTGGGATAGAGTATTCAAT